ATTTTGGGGTAATACTATCAAGTGTTTACTTAAACGTCAACATAAGTCAAGATAGCACTATCCTCATTTGCTCTTCTCCAGTTTATAGCTGATTGCAAAATTGTAAGACCACCCTATGATTTTCAATTTGAAAATTTGATATTTTGGATTTTTCAAAAACCAGTAAAAAATTAAGTTAAAAACCTGTTTATCCAACTCCTTAGATAAAAATAGAAATATATCATATGATTTAATATAAATAAATTACTTTAAAATCTTTATTAATTTTAAGGAGTTAAAGTTATTACCAAAATAGGTATTTAAACTTGCTTTTTTACTAATTCTTGAAAAATTCAAAATATCAAATTTTCAAATTGAAAATCATAGGGTGGTCTAATCTACAGCTGGTTTGTATTGTGTTCTACTCTTATCGAGAATACCACCATATCGCCTCTGCTTTTGGCTGAAGCTGTTCTTGTCTCCTCTCCCATTGTGACCACTCCAGATTCATCTTATATATTTTATACTGACAGTTCTCTTATTAATTTAGGAGCTCATGATGTCTGAGTTGGGTACAACCGTACAAGTTGTTAAAGACTCTGGCTTTCTCAATTCTATTGCGTCTTATGCACATGGTATTATTCGTGATTGGCCTTCTTCTTCCCATACTGAAGCTGCTGCTATCTATGCTGCTTTGACTTTGTCTCCTGCCAATTCTGTGGTTTCTATTTACACAGATTCACAAACGTTTATCCATGGCCTCAAGCAATGCTCTTTATCTACATACTCAAATTCCCACCTTTATTATAAAACCAATAATTTTGAACTTTGGGCTATAATTCAACAATTAATTATTGACAAATCTTCAAGGCTAACTCCAATTTTTATTGGAATGATTTTGCTGATTCCTTGGCCAACTCTGCGTATATATCTGATGATGCTATTTTAATTTCTAGCTTCAATCAAGCAGCTTCATTCTTTATTATGATGATATTGTTTGTGAATCCAATCCTTGGCACTTATTTAAACAATACAATCAAGCCTTTTTCATGAAAAACCTTTTGGATTTATCACGTTTCCGTTTCCTTGCTCTTTTAACAGACTCTTCTCAATATATGGTCAATTGGGCACTTACTTGGCATACTTTAATGTATCAATCCAATTATGATGACTCGTTCACTTTGGAGAACACCTCTAGGCACTTCATGATGAAATTCCAACTTTTCTTGAAAGATTTGCCTACTCTTAAAATTCTCAAGTGGCTTCGACCTGATTTATATATTGATATCTTTACTTGTCGCTCTTGTGAAGACCACCTTGAAAACTTTATGCACTTATTTATATGCAAAAAGCGCTGTTCTCATATGCAACAAATTATGACTTCTTATTTGCGCCATCTCATCATTAAACTTACCGAAGCTGGTGAACTCGCTAATCATGATCCTTCCGCTCACATTAAAACCATTACTTCTTTCCCTTGTTGGTCATTTTCTTCTAGCAACTGGTCCTCTTATAGTTTGATCAATGGCTGTTTGCCTACCGCCTTTCTTAATGTTTTCATTGATTTAGATATCCTTAGGTCATCTGCGATGAATGCGATTGCTGCTATTCATAACAATTTTATCAACAAATTCTAAAAACGGATCTGACAACCTGGACCGAAAATTCAGATTGGTCCAGTCTGGGTTGATGTTTCAACCTGGACTAAAATATTCGGTCTGGTTCGATCTGGTTTTGGATTATAAATCTAACCCAGACTGAATTAAATGGGTTGGGACTGGACCGGACCGATAAATATTTTTGCAATGGTTTATATTAAAACCATTGCGATTATTTAATTATTAAATAAAAAAATGTTGCGTAATGTTTTTTTTTAACATATTATTATAAAAAAAATGTTTGCGTAATATTTTTTTAATTAATTTAAAGAAAAAATGTTGCGAAACGTTTTTTCTTAGTATATTCAATTAAAAAAATGTTTGCGCAACATTTTTTTAATTAATTTAAAAAAAAAATGTTGCGAAATGTTTTTTCTTAGTATATTTAATTAAAAAAAAGTTTGCGCAACATTTTTTTAATTAATTTAAAGAAAAAACATTGCAAAACGTTTTTTCTTAGTATATTTAATTAAAAAAAATGTTTATGCACCGTTTTTTAAATTAATTTAAAGAAAAAACATTGCACAATGTTTTTTCTTAGTATATTTAATTAAAAAAAAATGTTTGCATAACGTTTTTTAATTAACTTAACGAAAAAACGTTGCATAACGTTTTTTTAATATATTATATTAAAAAAACGTTTGCGCAATGTTTTTTAATTAATTTAAAGAAAAAATGGTGCAAAACGTTTTTTCTTAGTATATTTAATTAAAAAAATGTTTTTGCAACATTTTTTATTATAGGACTGGACTGGACCAGACCAAAATAACTGGTCTGGTCCGATCTGGACCCAGATTCTCCTTTTAATATAAACCAGACCAGACCGAAATGAACTAATTTTTCAGTCCGGTCCTGGGTTACTTCCCAACCCAGACCAATCCGGACCATTTAGAGCTTTATTTGTAACTTTACAGATTTTCTTTTCAAATAATTAGATTTAAATAAGCCTTAACCAAAACTGTCTATTTCATATATAAACAACAAACCTTTTTCTTGTTAATAAGGATTTTGACATATCTACCAATTCGTGGAATTAACCAAAATTAAGATTTTCATAAAGATTTGCACATTTTAACAAGAATTATGTTTTACAAGCTTAAATTATATGTGTTACATAATCAGATAATCTAAATCAATTAAAAAAAAAAAAAAAAATTTGACATTTATTCAAAAATAACAATGGCAACTACTTTCTTTTTCAATCACTTTTCAATCACTTTTCAATCAGATTTTTGTTAGGTAATTTAGAAAAGTTTATAAACATATATAGCAGGTTTTTTTTAATCAGTAAGTAAGAAAACAAATATTAATTTATATTAATAAGAAAAATCTTTTTTCATTTATTTTTAACCTTAGTTCTTTCTTTTTTTAGTAAAAATATATACAAAATAAAAATGTGAGTTATGATTAAGGATGGGCCCTCAAATGATTTTTCAAATCCGCAATATTGCGGATTTTGAAGTCAAATTGCGGTTAGTAATTCACAATTCCACAATTCTGATGGCTGATGTTTTTAAATAATAAATTATTTTTTAACCGTTTTATAACAATAAATAAATAAAAATGTTTTTTAAATTAATATAATAAATTTATTTATTTATTTGTTTATTTGTTTATCATTTGTCTTAAGTATAGACTGATATTTTTCTAAATTGCATAACTGCGCCGTTTTTTAGAAAAAATTCTTGTCCATTTTTTAAATTAAGTTTCCCTGCTATATATATTTTCATCCAGCAACCCTATAAAAAGAAAAGTAGAAATGTTAGTAATATTTCTTTTTAAAGAAAATAGCCAACAAACATCTTTTCCTTCAGTTCTTTCTTATCTCAATTTCAAAATTTTGGTCATGTCTTTAATTAACCCTGCGAAAAGAAAAAAAATAAATTAATTAAATTATATCAAAAAAAAAATGAAAATTTTCCAGTCCTTCCTTACTTCAATCCAGAAGTCTGGTCATGCTTTTCGTCCGGCAACTCTACAAAAACAAAAAAAAAAATAAATTAGTGAAAATTATTAAAAAAAAGTAACAAAATTCCTTCCTAGTTCTCCCTTCAGAAGTTCAGTCGTGCTTTTCATCCGGAAACTCTACAAAAATGAAAAAAAATAAATTAGTTTGAAAAAAAGTAACAAAAACTCTTCCCGGTCCTTCTTTACCTTAATTTCAGAAGTCTGGTCATGCTTTTCCTCTGGCAACTCTACAAAAACAAAAAAAAATAAATTAGTTATTAAAAAAAATAACAAAAACCCTTCCCGGTCCTCCCTTATCTCGATTCTAAAAGTCTGACTATGAGCAATACTACAAAAACGAATAAAAAATAAATTAAAAAAAAAATAACAAAAATCCTTTCCAGTCCTTCTCTTATTTCAATTTCAAAAGTCTGGTTATGCTTTTTGTCTGGCAACTCTACAAAATCAAAAAAAAAAATTTATTAAAAAAAAACAACTTCCTGTCTGGTTTCTCCTTATCTTCATGATTCTATTTTAAAACTTCAATAAAAAAGAAAAAGAGATCATCAGATGATTTATATTACGCAATTCATCTGATAATCTGTGTCAGACTGGCAGACTATAATGGGCAAATCTGCAAATCTGCAAATGTTCTGCAATTTTGTAAAGTACTGCAATTGTACTGCAATTGAATTGCAGTACTTTGGATTATTTGCGGAATTGCGGATTTGTGAATATTTAGACTTCAAAATCCACAATGTTCTGCAATACCGCAAATCGCAATTATTCTGCAATTGCCTATTTGCAGCGCCATCCTTAGTTATGATTTAGAGTTTTTGAAATGTTTTTTTTTGTTTTTTTTACTATACTGATTTTATTCTACTTGTTAATTACTTTTTAAAATTGATTTTATTAATTTATTCAATTTAAAACAGAAATAGCAAATAAAACCTTGTTAAGTAAAGTAAAAAGAGCTCAATAATACCTGTAAAGATCATCTTTTGGTAAGAATTTATTTAATTAACAAAATCGTTAATATCTTGGCATACATATATGCTAAACATATATATTTATATTCATATGAAAGCCCAGAACCTACTCTACCCAAATGAAAAAAAATCATTCAGATCGAATTACTAGATGTGAAGATATTAACGATTAAAGTCAAAAGTTAAAAATAAGCATATTGAACGTAATTATTCAGCAACTTGTGATTCAATTCATGTAATATTTGGTTTATGAATAGCTCTTGATTACCTCTTTCTAATGAATATAAATTCATTCGTCTAACACACATACACGTTAAGTTATTCAATATTTTGTCATGACAATTATATTTAAATTTTTTAATTTTAATGATATTATTAAAAAAAAACAAAAATAATATAATTAAATCAATTTTATTTATGTCAGCTGAGGCAAACATAGCTTGAGCTTGAATTTTATTAATTAATGCCGAAGTGACTTTAGAGAACAACAGAGTGATCTAAAAAGTACCACAACAAGTGCAGAACTAATAGAAAAACAAAGAACAAATAATCTTCCAAAATTACATATAAAGAAAATAAATAAGATTATCCCTTAAACTGTAAGCAATTGCGGGCAAATTTGCCCGCAATTTTACCAAATTTCAGCTCTCATCTAATTTTATGAAAAATAAAGCAATTTTAATAAAATTTTTTTCCAAGATAGTTTAAATTATATATTGTGCAGCAATTATTATCATTTATTAATTATATATTAGAAAATCGAAAATTACCCATTGGTCAAAAGTTGTATTTTAAGATAATCACAAAATTTTAAAAAACTTTGCACTTAACTTCGACGATTTCATTGATAATTAATTGTAGCTATATAAAAGCTTAATAGAATATGTAGAATTTGGTATGAGAAACGACTTTTGTTAATATGATTTTTGATATTTAAAAGTAAAAATTTGACTTTATATAGAACATTAATGAAAATTTTATTATGCATTTTAATTATATATTCATAATAATTGATTTTTTTTTATCTCTATTTTGTTTATTATAATGCAAAATTTTTATAATAAAAATAAAAAGTTATAATAAATATTCAAATAGAGAAAAAATATGGTAAGAAAAGTTTAAATTTTATTATATAAAAATTCAGATACTATTTTTGCGGGTTAATTTCTAATCCAATTTTAATGATCAACTGTACTGTATATCTAACTCATACAATTTATGGCCAGAATGTAGATCAATTTGGCTGCAAAATTATGTGACGATCTGGCCAAAATTAAAGAATTTTTTATAGCGTCATTTATTCTAATTTAGAAATTGCGGGCAAATTTGCCCGCAAAACAGTTTAAGGGATAAAACCCCACCCTTTCTATATAAATAACTACAGCTACTCCCCCCAAATCTATTTCAAAATGAGTAAAGTTGACTATGCTATACATAACCCATCCAGCGCCGTACCCACTCCTAGAATCGGTAAAAAACCTCCGAGCTACTATCAGCACTATCAGAAACGCATAAAATTCAATTTCCCCTATTTGACTACATACTATGGATAACAAACCTATTTCACTAAGACCTCCAGGAACTTTTTAGTGTCGTGCAGTCCAGCTGATGGGGAACTTTTTAGTGTCGTGCAATCCCCGAAGGGACACCCACCTCATTGCGAACGATCCTTCGACCTAAGATCTACCTAGATAAGTCAATCCAATGATAGTCCAACATGTGACCAACATGATCGGCATACTACCTAGGGGATAGGTAAATAAACGGGGGGTACAACTTAAGGTTACACAGGGCTGATCAAAATTACCAGAACTGAAGTTATATATAATTTATTAATATTACTATATGATAATCATTTTAAACGTAAAATTTTGATGTTAGATTTAAATAAAAATAAAGTGATCGTGAGACAAACAGATCATACCATAAAGACACGATGCTCATCTATATACAGAATGAATTTTATCTCTGTCGCGCTTCTAGATTTTTGAGAAAAACTTAATCAGCTACTAAAATTTAACGAACTTTAAGACAAGTTGAAAATGGTGAGCAATAAAAAGAAAAATATTATTATAAATATGTTTTAAAATAATAATAATTTTGCATAATTAGAGTAAAAGGAAACAGTCTTTTGAGAATATCAATAGTAAATTTACAAAACAACAAAAAAAAGTGGAGTCATTGCAAGAACTTTTGCATATTCGACCTGATCTTAAGGGAAAAAAAGTATATTTTTTTCCAAGATTAAATAAATATTTTGAAGGTGTACTTTTTTATGATGCAAAAGAAAAGAAAGCATATGTATATAGTGTTATAAATGATTACAAATATGAGACATTTTCCCAATGGATGGTTGGATTGAAAAATAGAGGACTATATAAAGGTTATCGATCAGCCCTTGCAACCATTTTTTTGGAACCTAATCCATCCGGTCCATCAATTGGATCAATTTTACGTAGTAAGTCAAATTCATACTGGAAAGTATCTACTTACACGAATATCCAAGATATTCTTTCTTTAATTAAAAGAGAAAGTTTAACAGGAGGAAAATTTATGGGAACTGTTATACGAGAGATTAGTGAAGGTCTTGAACTTCATTTTTTTAATAACAAAAAAAAATTAGAAAAGAAAATATTAATATTTGCTCAGGGTATTTTTCTTAGTTACAAAGTTTGGGTGTTTGATCAAGCATTAAAAGAAGTAGACCTTCCTTTTCCCGTTAAAGCAATGAAAAGAACTCTTGATGAAATAAGCAATCTTATTCAATATGTTTTTTCTCTTAAAGTTTGTTGTGGTCAAAGTACTGTTGGTATGTAGTTTATAGTCAACTATTTGTATGGTTTATATTTTATTTTTGTTTAAAATATTTAATTTTAGGATTTGAAAATGTGGTTCAAATTCGAGAAGAACAATTGGTTAGCAATGATAAAGAGCATACTCCCTTTGCCTTTTTAGAAAACAAAAATCAGCCAGATGAAGCATACCGACATATTCATTGTAAATTCATAATAAAAGATGAAAATACATGTGATAATAAATGTGAAAATTGTCAAAAACTCTACAAAACAATGCAACAAATTTATAGAAGGTCCCTGGCTGGCGTAAATTCTGTAAAAATTGCAAATGCTTCTAAAGAGATTCTTATAGAAAAAATTGAGCATCAAAAAAAGCTTATTAAAACACAATATGTAACTCTTGCAAATATAAGAGATTGTTTACAAAAGAAAATAGAAAATGAAGGAGGAGAAATATCAGATAATATGTCAAAAATTACCCATACTGTTATTGAAAATGTTATAAATAAAAATATAGATATTTCAAGTCTTCATCCTATTTTCCAAGAACTTATTCGCATTCAAAGTGAAAAGCCAAATGGAACAAGATACCATCAAATGTAAGAATTTAATCATTAGTGTTTTAATAATAAAAATTTAATGTATTTAATTTTTTTTAATATAGGTTTTTACGTTGGGCAATATCTGTATATAGTAAATCTGGAAAAGCAGCTTATAATGTAATGAAGACAATAATGCGCTTACCATCAATTTCTACTCTTAAAAATTATATTAATGAAGGCGAACAGTTTTCAGGATGGCAAGACAAAACTGCTTTTCAAATATTAGAAAGCTTAACAACAAATAATATTTGGGAATAAAGACGAGCAGGATTTTTTTCTCATGACTCTTTTAAAATTCAGAAAGGTATTTATTTATTTTAAAATGCATGTAAAAAATATATTTTTTTATTTATTAAGGAATATTTAAAACAGGTCTTCTTTGGAGTAAACGTGAGAATTGTTATGTTGGATATTTAGATTTTGAAGATGAAATGCAAGATTATCAATTATTTGCTTTGCAATGTCAAAATGAGATTCATACAGCATCTGAAAATAATAATCTATTGCCTAATTCTATAACCAAAAAACAAGAACAAAATCTTGCAACTCAAGTTCATCAAATTGTTTGGCACTCAACAACTCATAACTTTGCATTTCCAATTGCTTATTATGGTATTAATACAATTACAGCACACAATTTAAATACCTTATTATTTAATCTTGCAGCAAGATTAGAATGTATTGGTATACATACATATGGTTCAATTTGTGATGGTGCAGGAGAAAATAGGACTCATATAAAAAGTTTTGATTGGTATGCATCAACCTGGTCTTCTGGTGATATCGTAGAAGTTAATTTTCATAAAGACAAAAAGTCTTTTCATACAGCAAAAATTATAGATAGCAATTATGTAAGAACAAAATTCACTGTATGTTTACGTGATTGTAATGAATCTGGAAAATTTACAATTGATCGAACTTATATTCGTCCACCAATGCATTCAAAATCAAAATGGGATGTTAATGAAATATGTGAATTCAAGAGTCCAAAAGATGATCAATGGTATTTAGGAAAAATAACTAATTTTGATTCAATTGAATCTACATTATCTATTGAAATTACTAATGCAGAAGGAGCCAGTAAAGGATGGAAGGTTTTTAATTATCATATTGATAAATTTCTTCGCCCTGTTTATGATGATCAAAAACTTATAGCAAGTCATAAAACTGTTAATCCTATTACTGGAGATGAGTGGTTTTTTATTAGTGATCCAACACATGTATTCAAAAAACTTAGAAATAATTTATCAAAAAGTCAAACAGGTGAAAAAAATGCTAGAGAAATAATGTATAATAGAAAGGAAATTAGCTGGAAACATATACGAGGTGTATATGAACATACAAATAAACATGCAATGGCAAAAGCTACAAAACTCACAAAAAGACATATTTGGCTCACATCATGGAGTAAAATGCGTGTGGATCTTGTAGAACACACCTTGTCAAAGGAAGTTGAAAATGCTCTAGCATTCATTAAAAAACATATCAGCGGATTTGTCTATCCTGAAATTATAGGTTAAAATAAAGATTTTCCTGAACAGATCATGCTCAGAATTGTACTGTAACACTAGTAAATCAGATGATAAGTTGTCATCTGACTAAATGACCAGCTGAAGTAAAAAATTTTTGTCGCGAACCAAAATTATTATACAAAACATAGTCGTGTAAAAACCCATTTCTCTTACAAAAAACCCATTTCTCATATAACACCAAAATTTTTATCTTCCAGACTAACAAGTAGGTTTTTTTTTGAATATATATCAATAAAAAAGAAAGGACTCGTCAAAAAATTTTATATATATTTATTTATTTGGTTAATATTGAATTTTTCAGGTATAATGGTTTATATATTACCTCCTACTCCAATTTCGCCCATAAGTTTTACCGAAGATATTTTACAATGCTCTATATGTAAAAAGACATTTAAATCTAAGCGAGGTTTAAGTCAGCATAAAGCAATTATACGCCGATATAATTCTTCTCGCGTAGGCTTTTACAAGCTTCCAAAAAATTTTATAAATGAATTTAAAAAAACACTAGTTTTTTTAATTCATCGCCAACTTCCTTGTCATTTTACCAAAATTGGATTAAAGGCTGTCACTGTGGCCTGCACTGAAAGTCAGTTTTTTGCTACATTTGGTGGGAATATTCATCACTATTCTAACAAATCTCGTGTTTATAAGTGCATCTTTGGGGGCCAGATGCATCA